TTTTTAGGGAGAGAGGGTGAGCTCCATCATCGACAATGGTTCAAGAACTTGGCGCAGCGAGAACGCTTTAAGGGCAAACATGCTGGTCGCCATAACCGCATTACGAAAGTTATGCAACCACCCGGATTTGTTTCTTTTCGACGAAAACGAAGCTAAAAACGTAGGTCGTATTTGTGTCACCCCGAATTCCCAAAATATAATAGAATTATTTACTTTTAAACATTGCGTAGTTGGCCAACCAGTGTTATATAAATGACGCGCTAGTTTCGTGATGGGATGGGTGGAAACAGTTTTTATAAATTTTACTTTATAAGGTACAACTTTGGAACCGACAATTCATGTGAATTTACAACGTGAGCGTGAAGTTAAGAAGCAACTAGCTATATTTTAATTACTGAGAGTCTGCACTTTATCAACATGTAACTTCTCCCCGTTAAGACCGAACTACCCTTCTTCGGGATTAGGCCTACTTTTCCATCGATGTACCCATCATCCAAAAGAAGTGAATAAGTTTCATACTTATTTATAATTTATTAATGATTAATTTTTATTTAACTTTAAGAATTTATGTTTTCTTTAATATTTTTTATAGTTTATAGTTTAAAATTGCGCGGCAACGGCAACGAAATTTCTACGGGCGACTTTTTACGCGTTCCCTCTTTTTTTTTGGCCCATAACTTAATTTTCGGGTCGAGCGGCAGTCGATAAAAACCACGCTGTTGGAAAGGTAGTTTTCGCAGTGCTCTTTCCGCTTTAGCTTCCTGTTTTGCATTTCGCTAGTCGTTAATTTTGCCAAATAACATTTCCGCATCACCATGAGGTACCCGGAAGACGAACCCAGAATACAAGGCAGCTCCTTGGCACCAAGGTAAGTCGCTACAGTTATTTCGTTGCCCCGCTCGGCTTACATAGTTTTCATTTCAGTCCACTTAACCAAGAAGGATTAGGAACAAACCGATGTAAAGGAATAATGTCTACATACTGAATCCTTTTAAAGTTACTGTTTTTTCTTTAATATCTTTAATTTTATTTTTTTGTGTTTCCAATACAGTTCCAATAGTTTTTAAGTTATCCAGTGGAATCATATCCAATACTAGCGGGTGAAAACTATTTTCTTCATTGTTACTTATAGCTGTTAAATAGTTAAGATTTGGAAGGTGAATTAGCTTAAATTTCAGTTTAGACTGTTGATAAATTCTTAAAGTTGTTTGGTCCAGTTTTACTGCACAATCTGGGGCAAGTTCCACGATATAGGGTTCTTCAAGCGAGATTTATTTTTTCTCTTGTCCACACTTTCGTTCAGTGACTAATTCTGTTGGGACAATTAATAGGAAATGCCTTCTTGACGATTTTTATAGTTTAAAATTTGAACTAATTCGAGTTTCATTTATTAATTGCTTCTGCCTATACGTGCCAAACATGTGGGGTTGTACCCGGGACTTCCTATGCTAATCGTTGTCCAGGTCCCTTGAATATATCGGTCGAATTTATAACGCGAGCGCTTTGAGGTTAAGAAGCAACTTTAAAACATCGAGAAACACGGCAGAATGAATTGTACTTGATGCACTTATCAGCAACCGATTCGGGAAAAGCTATATTTTAATCATTCAGCGTCTGCACTTCATTAAAATGTAACTTGCTTACGACCCACCATTTTGTTCTTCTATATCTAATTTACTTTGCTATTGTTTACTCTTTGCTTTTACATAGAAAATTTTGAAATATATTTGTCTTAGATAGTAGTAGAAAAAGCAAAAAACTGCCACATTTCAATTAAATAATTTAGGGAAACTAAAAGAAAAGATAAAATAGATAACTCGCAAGCTTCTTTAAAGTCTAGTCGGGTCAACACGAATAAATATTGTTACAGTTCTACATCTGAACTAAAACGAGTTTGATTCACGCAATGTTTGTTGTGTGTGTGTCAGACGAGTTCTTACTGACCGAGTTAACGCCTACAGGACGACGCGGACCTGCCGGACAGTTTCGGATATTACAAAAAATCGGGTAAAATGGTCGTTGTGTCTGCGCTGTTAAAAATTTGGAAACGTCAACGTCACAGGGTGTTGCTTTTCTCGCAAGGCCGATCTATGATAAAGATTTTCGAACAGTTCCTCGTCCAACACCACTATACATACCTGAAGATGGACGGATCGACCAGCGTCGCCTCGCGTCAGGGATTAATCGACAAATTTAACCAGGTATAGGCTTCGTGCATCGTCGAAAACATCACAGCTTTGCATGGATGATTACAGGATTCGAGCTACGACGTGTTCCTGCTGACTACCAGAGTGGGCGGTCTGGGAGTTAACTTAACAGGCGCCGATAGGGTTATCATTTATGACCCGGATTGGAATCCGGCGACAGACACGCAGGCGCGGGAACGCGCCTGGCGGATCGGGCAGGATAAGTCGGTGACCATCTACAGGCTTCTGTCTGCCGGTACCATAGAAGAAAAGGCATGTCTCGACACTAGGTTTTAGGAGACTGCTGTTCGGTCCTAAGTCATTCTAATGGGTACTAACTTTAGGTGCTCGATGACGGCTGCCTAAAGCACACGTAACTAAATGCAACCTCAAAATGGTGTCAAAAATTTGTGAGAAAACAGCTTTTTGCCCGCGAATCATTTTTTCTTGTAAGAGACTGATTCTATTAAGGGACACCCAATTGTATATATGAAAAATAGCATTAGAACTGCTTCAGCCAATTCTGTTTAATAAATTTGGAGCAATTTCCGTTCCATACTTCTGTTTTTCCATACATTGCCATAAAAATTGAGATAGTTTTGGGTAGTTAATAAATGACAATAAAAACAATACATTAGAGGATTTCAAATAAAAATACATGTTTCTGTGGTAACTTGTGTATTCAAAACATTTACTTGGGGTAATCAAAATAAGTGATTGGGACAGTAGACTAAAATTTTGTATATGAAAAATGAATATATTGCCTTCAGGTTTCTCTCCCTACTAAGAGATAGTCGAAAATACAAATGGTGCAACAAAGTGAAGCTTGCATGTCCCCTAGCTTTTCTCTAAATTTTACTGGTTCCCTAGTTATCCCTATTTTAGACGAAGTTTTGTGTTAATATCAACAATTTAAGGCAGTAATCTGAAACATTTTTCCAGATGTACCAGAGGCAGGTGTGGAAGCAACTGTTAAGCAATAAAATATTAATCGACCCAAGCACTAACAAGTTCTTCAAGTCGTCGGATTTGTTTGATCTATTTTCGCTGCCCTCGGATCCGAAACCGGAGACGACCAATATATTTCAGGAGTCCAGGGTCAGTGGCGGCGCCGTTTGGAATCATATTATATAATAATACGCGGGTGCGTTTTAACGTAATCTATTTTAGGTTAGGCTGCAGGAAAAATACAAGGAAAAGCAAGAATCGAGGGCGAAGAGGAAACTGAAAAATCGTCAAACGGACGAAGCGTCGGGCGAGTCTATATTCACTGAAGAGAGGGTGGAGGCTATGAAAGCATTGGCTCGCCAAATCGCCAAAGGAATTACCGCGAATCCTGAACCTCACACACAGAAGGCGGAGAGACTCTGTTACCTAACGGAGAAACAAAGGTTGAGAGAGTTGACACCGCCTGAACTAGTAAAATATAACCGGTTAAACTTCAAGGAGCGCAAAGGCGATGCTGACGAGTTGGTTGCTGGTTGCAGTTTTGAAAAAGCCTTGGAGGCAAGTGCCAAAACGTCATTGAACCAAAAGATCGCGAAAGAGGAACGGAAAAGAAGAAAACGTTTGAAGAAAGCGAGCGTAGGACCCGAAGCGAAAAGAAAGAAGACCGTAGACACGTCTGGTAAGATTGATGGTGTGGATGTGACGGGTTTGGTGAAGCGTGAGGTTCCAAAACGCGAGAAGAGGTCCAAGACTGGGATGAAGTCTCAAGACTCATACATATTGGAACATTTGTTTTCAAAAAAAGGTGAATATGGGCTAAAGTGAAGAGTTTAGGGGGGTTTCGAGGGATAATTTTAGGGGTTTCGGGAGCTCTAGAACATGAATCGGTAGTCAACCAAGGAGTTCGTAAGTATACTTTGAAGATACGCGAAGAGGCCGAGCGGAAGGCGTCGAAAGCATTAGAGGCGCTGAAGAAGTCAAGGTTTAAATAGTTGTTAATTTTTCTTATAATTTTTGTAATATAATTGTTGCATTTATTTATTTTGTTTCATTCTATTTTTCTTTTAGGGTTTATACACGCTATTTAAAATAATACAATAAAAAAGTGATAAATAAAAGGCAATATAATTTTCCCCATTATAAAATTAACCGCGACATTTTCAATGAAATGAAAACTCGTAAATTATACGGGTATTATCAAAACTTTTTGTAGCTTCATCTGAAAAAAGTAAACTAAAAGTGGCAATTAACTGGATTCACCAGAATAAAAAATTAATAATCGGCGACCTTATATAGAAGCAATTCAATTCAATTCAATTATGCGTTTCACAAAAAATGTTGGGCTCGACTGCTAGGATCATTCGCCCATTGCCGACTTCCGTCGAGGATTTTCGCTTCTGATCAATGACCACCACGTACAAAGAAGAAAAATAACCAATAATTTGCTCAGCTAGCAAAAAACGATTCTGACCGATACCAAAAAAAATCGGCTTCCCCCCGCTTCCACCAAGGACCATCCGGGCCCATCCGGCCTCCATACCGGCGTGAACGGGGAAAAACGACGGGGCCGACGACGATTATCACTTTAAGACGTACACTGAACACTCAGAACACTAAATCCACACCGTGGATACCGATATCAAAATTTTTGGGACGAATACATGGGATTCTTTCGGGAGCGAACAGAGGTTAAACCGCCGCGTGCAATGCTCTACCACAGAATCCTACATAGAAGCAAATAATTTCTCTTACTCTCTTCTGAAAAGGTATTCGGGTAACTGGGAAACGAATCATTTTAGGGTTTCGGTTAATCTAAGAAAAGAAAAATATTCTCACCTCAAAATGCTTGGCCGAATGTTCCTGGCAGTCTTAGCCAATAGCAGTAAAAAAAATAAAATGGTTAATTCCAAATTTTGTTTGTTATTTGTATTTTTGGGATTGAAGTTGTCCGAAAACGAAAAAGTTAGTGACATGAATTCCGACGATAAGTTATTTTCCGTTAAATTCGAAATATACGGTAGAGTTCAAGGTATGTTATATTAACAATTGACTTCCAGATACAACATTCATTTGCACTTTTCAGGAGTATTCTTTAGAAAGGTGAGATGCACATTTCGTGAATGTGTCGTTTAATTTCGCAGTTTTATAGTACACCCAGAGCGAGGCCACAAAACTGGGCGTCAAGGGCTGGTGTAGGAACACAGACCGAGATACAGTTGAAGGCACGTTGGAAGGCAGTAAAAAGCGACTTAACGCGATGTAAGGCTCCAAGAAGGAATAAACACATTTCTTACAATATTCCAATATTTTAGGAAGCACTGGTTGCAAACCAAAGGCAGCCCTAAATCCAGAATTGACAGAGCTGTGTTTCAAGATGAACATGAAATAGAGGGGTTCACTTTTGATGGGTTTACGGTAAAACATTAATTAAAGATTTATTATTAGACAAATGTCATTAGAATATTTATTTTGTGTTTGTTTAACTTCTTAACTCGTTAAAAAAGTAGTTCATAAGTGCAAGGTTTTAAATTTTGATTAAGTACAGGAGTGAGGCTGCTTTTCAGTTTTTCCAATTAAAAACTGTTTTTGTTTTTGAAATAGTGAAATTCCCTGTTATTCTCACCAGTCTATTTTTTTATGGATTGATAAGGTTAAATTTTCGAATAATTTCTTAACATGTATGTAGGAGACTTGAAATAAAATGGTATGGTATTAGTCAAGCAAAGAAGAGAAAGAAAACCATCGTAAGTCCTCGATATTTAAATTTATTTACCTAAATTATAATCATAATATATTCAAACGGAAAATAATAACAATACCTATATTCAAAACGCGAGATGGAAATGTAAAAAATAATGCGAAACGTCAATACTGATCCGCAGCTCGTAAAATATATATACGCCGCGTGGGCATGGCGAATTTCGCTCACCTGAGCGGGGAAGCGGGTCGGCAATCTCTGACGTCATCGCGACGTCCGAGCTGAGTATTTTAGTCGTAACGACGCCGGAGACCCCCGAGACTAGTTTAATAATGTTCTGACTAGTATTTATTTTAAACACTTTTAAAAGTGACGACACAAATTAAAAAACACGACACATTCAGACTTTTGGCAAATTAAAAAAAACGCGAGCGGGAGCGATTTCGGGGAAACGTCAGGCAGCGCCACCTACTGGCTCAAGTGCAACGCAATGCCTATTTTTTGGACGAAAATAAATAGTGCAATGCATAACAAATTAATAACTTTAAAGCTTTACCGATAAAAATTTGGTGGTGAATAGTAGTGGATGTGCAGATCAAAAATAGTTTAATTTTGACATACAGGATACCCAGTTCCAGCTGTGTTGATTATTTCCTTAGTTTTTCTACTTATATAAACCTTAGTTTATCAAGTTCAATCAGAATTAAATATTTTAAGTACTTTTTCATAGAAAAATATCACAAAAATTTGTTCTTAGGGTGACGTTTCCCTACTGCCGCTGCCCCGGAAAATCTCTTACTACAATAATAATAATAAACAAGCAGCTATATTTGTACTACGTCCAAAACACTGGAAAACATCAAATAATATATTTTGTCCATTCTTTTCCTTACTGATAAAATTAAAAAACTATAGTGACAAAAATATGGTGTAAAATATATCTTCAATGAGCTAAAAAAATGATTCCAATCATTGCAAAGAATAACCCCATCAAGAAGTGCCAATGAGAGCAATTTATAAGGGCAATGTGTGTCCCATTAACGTTTAACCGAGACAAGTTCTGCAGAATCATAATTCTTTGTGTCAATAAATGACATTATTAAAAAATCTCTGGGTTTAAGTGCAAATTATAAAGAGACTGGGTCCGCGGAAAACCTGTTTGAAACTAACCCATTTGACCGCTCGATACCTATACAAGGTGTAAATTAAGTAACTAATTTTAAAATAAAAAGGTGTTAAACAAAACATTTTTTTTGTTATATTTTTGTTCAGTAACATGTCAATTAGACGAAATTAGACCTACTCTCAATTTTAAATGCAAAAGGTAAAAGGTTTAATATAAGCTGAAAGTTAATATTTCAGTTTCTTGTCATTAATAAACCCAGTATCTCGAGTTTCGTCTAATTGCCTTTTTACTGAACAAGAAATATAAAAAAAACAAATAAGATAGTTTTTTTTGACGCTCTGTACTTAATTAACACTCTGTATAGGTGCAGACAGTTTAGGTCCACCAACAAATATTGAACTGAATCCTCTTTGCGGCTTCTGAATGGTGTTTATCTATGTTGCGACGCGGTACAAATATACGCGACTCGCTCGTATTAATAATATCACCGTCATTTGCCCGTCGTCCGTTAGATGGACTAACTGTCGACTTGTTTCGCGCCTATGCTCGATGAGGACGGCGACGAACCGATAGAGTTGGGAAACGCGCGAGCCGTGACGAAAGTGCATGCGACTGGCGTCGGCGACATGGATTCGGAGCGACCGTCTAACATTACTTGCTGAACTTTCTCCGCGTCCTGCTTCTCCAAAGACTCGGTCGAATGCACGCGCCCGCCCACGTCGGCAACGAACTTGTCCGAGTCGTCGCGAATTTGTCGGCAAATCTGCGGGTAGCGCGTGCGTATCGTGTCTACGACGTCGAGCAGGTTCTTCGAGTCCATCGCGAGCACGTGGGCCGCCCCCAACATGCCCCTGAAACACCGACATAGTCTACCGGGTGTCTCATGGTTGATGAAACTTAAAACTTTTTGGGAAAACGAGAGGTAGGAATAAATTACACAAGCAGGATATGCCAATAAGGCCTGTAGTATCTTTTGTAACAGCACCATCAGTTAAATTCTCAACAAGATTAATAAAAATTGTAGAATATCATATTGCCTTTAAACCTAGATTCGTTCAAACTAATTAACAGGGTTAAAGACATTAAAACAACTGCTAAGGCAATTCTAGTTTCATTTGACGTCCAAGATCTATTTCCTTTTGACGTTACGTTGACGTAAAGAGGGTGGGCGCTTTATTACGGGCCTTTGCTCAGGAATTACTGATATTAGAAAAAAAAAGTTTATACAAAAGTTTTATGGTTTAAATTATATTTTAAAATTATTTATTTTTTATATATACAGGGTGTCCGATAAGTGCTGGACCGACATTAGTAAAATTTAATTAATAAAAAAAAAGAACGATATGCTTTTTTAAAATTCTTTAAAATAATTAGGTGTCAGTAGTTCGAAAACCATTAAATTTAGGTATAGGACATGTATATACCAAATATAGGTATTTTGACGCACTTTGAGAAAAAAAAAATCAAAAACATGGGCGTCTCATTAAAGAAAATAAATACTGCAATTTGAATTTAAAAAAAGAGTCCCTTAATTTAAGACACACTGTATAATTTTAAAATGCCTAGTCATCGCAGCTTGTTAGAAGGAAGTCTTCTAAAATTGTGTTTAAAATTTGAACAAGTTATCATTACTGACACCCGTGGAAGACCATATTTACTCAGAACATAATTTTGCATACAAAAATGTATAATCTCAATTTCTGTCTAAACTACACAAAATTTGAATAATTAGTTTCTATAAAAGTGTACCTTTATTTTTGGCAAGGATTATAAAAATATCAAAATAAATGGGGTTTTCCTTTTAAAATTTTAAAACTAATGTCGGTGCAGCACCTATGTACATATAAAAAACCTTGTATATATAAAAAATAAATAATTTTAAAATTTAATTTAAACCATAAAACTTAACTTTTTTTTCCTAAAATCAGTAGTCCATGAGAAAAAGTACAGGCCTCTACCAAAGTGCCCACCCTGTACGTAACACACATAACAGATAATCTCACTCCAAGACAAGTCCACCCTATCATAAAACACGAATTGCTAGATAGTTTAATAGTTTCTTTAAATCAAAATTATTTTGACTTTAATGGTCGATCTTATATTGCTAAAGAACGTTTAATTATCGAACCCACATAGTCCACTACTTACAGAAATTTTCATGGACAATGTGGAAAATATCATTAACGAACATAAAAAGGTGTATAAAAATAAAACTTAGGATTCTAAATATGCCATTAATTTAAATTCAGAAATTCGCAAGTTTGACGATAATTTTGATATTTGATATTTCAATCAAAAAGCGAAAAACTAAATTTGTTGGAATCTATGGAGACTAATAAAATGAGATATTCGAATCTATTACTTAATGACCAATTAGATTTAAATGCGTCTCCGTTGTTAAATTTAAATTTGTAGGAGTACACCAGTAATTAAAAATATTGTGATGGTGGTGCTTAAGTGTCAATCATATTAAAATTGCAACCATTTATGCTGTATTTTGGTGGCCACATTGAAAACGCAACTGCTTCTGTTAGAATCTATACAATGGAGTATCCTGTATTAGAACGGAAAGATGTTAGTGTTTTATCTGTATTATTGTTTTTCAATACTTTAATATATTTCACTCATATGACTATGAGAATTAATCATTATTGACATTTAAAATATAATGTTGCCGTTTTAACAGTAAATTTTTTTGTTGCTAAAAGAAGCAATACTAGTATTTAATAATATATGAAATATTCCCAGAGACGGTGACATTATTTTGTGTGTTACACCCTTATTGGATTATCTTTTGTTGCAATAAAAGAGATGTCATTTCATTTAGTTTCCTAAAGAAAATTAATTTTATTTGTAGTGATGTCGCAAAACGCCCTTTAGCTGCGATACATGCAATCGAAATCAGGGCAGCGCTTGTCAACGACTCCCACAAAATACGTTCAGCCATTCAAAACTTGTTGACATTTATGTCCGAAAAATTTCGGAGGCCACTTTCTTTTCAAGACAGAGCAAAAACTATTCCATGAAAAAGGGTCGAATGTACCCCAACTTTAAAACGGTGTTGTTCATTTTGGTTATCTGTGATATACGGTCATTTCTCAAAAAATGGACTTTAGAAGAATGTGATTGGTCCCATAGCAGGTATTCCAGAAATTTAGATATAATTTCCAGAATTTGCTCTTCGCAGTTTTAGTCATAAGTTTCTTCAACCACGCTCTTTGCGACAATTACTTTTCACGATAGGACAAAAGTAATCATTTTACTGTATTACACAAATAATTAAAATAATTAGATTTTGTTAGAAAACTGATTTTATTTCGAAACGCTTACCATTTAGGTATAGGAACATAATTCATCAATTGAAAGTGCTTTTATCTACTATCCTATTTTAAAATAAACGTGGTATTCCATCCGTACTTTTCGCCGATTTTGTGTAAGACGATTTGTAAACATTGTGCATATTGCAGGAGGCATTATTCGACACTCTACAGAGTACCATACCCAGGATACTGATAATCTCTAGCCAAGATTTCAGATTTCTAAATACTCAAGTATCTGAGCAATAAGAACTTTAACTTAACGAACAATATAATTAATTAATATCTTGAAAACTGATTGAAAAAATATCATGCAGCAATAGCAGAGCGGAAATTTAAACATTGAAAAAATGAATATTATAGTTCGCTGGAGGAGAGTCAAAAACTTATCGTGACCAAAGTTTTGGTAGTTTTGAGTAGTTTTCTGGTTAGTTCTATAACCTTCGTCCTCAGATGTAAAAAAAAGAATTCTGATTTACTGTTAATCTGATATCTTGACATTCTATAAGTAACCGAACGAATTTTTTTCTATTAAATTTACCAAGTAAATTCCAATTCTTCTTACATTCTTTGTAAGCGAAGGGCCACCGAGACGTAAATTAAAAATCAAACAAACATAGCTACCCGCCAAGAAAAGCACAGTCTGACAGATTCAATAAACAACTCGAAGCGGTTTTAGAATGCACTTAAAAATCTTAATATACATTGCAAAAAACAGCCAAATAAAATACCGGACGAGTTACACAAATCCATAACTTTAAATAAACATTTTTTAAAATCCAATTCAAATGAGGGAACATATTGACTGATTTTGCACTTTACCAACGTGTCAATCTGCTCTCTTAAGTATAACTGACGATATCATTAATGCACCCTAATTCGATTAAATTAATTAAAAACTATTTAGAGAGAGTTCAGTATGTAGAGACAAATGTTGGTGTGTCACCGATAACTAAACAAGTTCAGTTATGTACCACAGGAGTCAACAATTTTGGGCCCTTTATTATTTTCAATTTACACATGTGATATTAATAGCTGCATTAAACAATTCAAAGTGCATCTATATGCGGATGCTCAACTTTATATTAACGAGGACTTAATAAGAACTCATATCACCCTTACCCACGCAAAATGGTTGCTTTTTATGCTTTTATCCACAGACTACTTAATATCCCAGTTTTGGTTAGTTTTGGTTTTGGTAAATATCGCTCAACTTTATATTAACGAGGACTTAAATAATCTGGTGTTTTTTGCTGTTAATAAATGCAACAAAATCAAAATTTTTGGTTATTCGGAAAACATAATGATAGATTGTGTCAAAACATTAAAATTAAAATCGGTGACGATGATGTTCCATATTCCAATCAGAGCAAGAATCTTGAGCCAATTTTTGATTCTGAGTTAAGATTTAAATATCAAGTCAAAAATGTATCCAAATCCTTTTTCTAGGAGTGACAAGATCAAACTGACAGATTCACTTGTTCTTAGTCATTTTAATTTTGCCGATGCTCGCTTAGTGTACAACCACAGAATACAGCGCGTCCAGAAAGCATGCCTTCGATTCATTTATGGCATTTGCCGTAGAGAACCTGTCACTTTTAAATTAAAGGAAACAAAATGGAGAAGGCCAGAACTTTACACGCATGTGTTGTTTCATAAAATTGTGGCCAACTTACTCCACATTGCCTTAAACTCCTTTATATCTCTTTGGTTCACTCTAGACTGGAATATGCATCCGTGATATCTTTGGCTTCAATATCTATAATGGGTATCAGATCAACTATAGTATTATAGCTAAGGCCTTCAATATTGGTACTCTTAAAACCAGAAGATCTCAGAGTGATTTAGTTTTTTTCTTTAAGATTCTGACTGGTTGCTATTATTGTCCAGCTCTTTTACATAGCATACAATTTAACGCATATTACAGGAGCTATGGTAGCTCAATGTTCCGTATAGCTTACCTTCGTGCAAATTATAGATTTTATTCACCCCTTACTAGAATGCTTAAAGCGTGCAACTGTTTAAAGCTTGATCCTTTTCAAAATAAATAAGAACTAAAAGTTCAGATTTTCACGAAATTATATATTTTGACATGACAATTGTTTCGACAACACCGTGTCTTTATCAAATGTATATTTGATAAAGACATAAAGACAATTGTTTCGACAACACCGTGTCTTTATCAAATGTATATTTGATAAAGACATAAAGACACGGTGTTGTCGAAACAATTGTCATGTCAAAATATATAATTTCGTGAAAATCTGAACTTTTAGTTCTTACTTATTTTGATAAATGGATTTTTATCAAGTAAAAGTCACCTCAGTTCTGATTTCTAGTTTTTATACTGCAGTCTTACTCTCTTTGTCTTTAATGAATGTAAAAGTTTTGTAAATTAGTTAAACCGTAAATAAATAAATAAATAAATAAAAATTATAACTACAGATCGGCCACAGTATATAACAAATAAAATTCGATATCGTACAGATGTACACACTCTTAATTTAAGATTTCCCTACTACATATCCCCTCCGCCCCATAGCACAGTCTACTATGAAAGGTGTTTCACTTATAATATTTATATTTTATCTAAACATATTTCACGCAATTTAAAAACATTATCAGTGGGCGCATTAAAATATCAATATAAACAGTTTCTTTGAAGTTAATATTATATGAGTGACTTTTTTGTTTTTTTATATAGAGTGGACTCTTTTTCTACATATTTTCCTTCCTTTTCGTACAGTGTTCTTTTTGCAGAGGATCTAAAACTTTAGTGTAATTGGCATTGTCAACATTAATAGACATTATATGTATACCTTGGTTTCTCAACTAGAATCTTTTTTAAATTGAATTTCGGCCTCCTTTAGATTTAGATGCTGATTATGTAAATTCTTACAGCAAATAAATTATTATTATTATTATTTCGTGTCTAATCTATCTACTATCTACCTTATTTTGGTTTTGTAAAAATAAGACAACATAAGCATTGGTTTTTCGATGTAAAAAAAATGCAAAAATATTTTATATATCATCTTACTTTCTATATTCCGCATCCAGAGTCGTTCGACTGTACTGGTGAGCGAGTTTCATCGCACCAACCAACTCAGCCATATCTTTGGATAGCACCTTGTGCGCCATCTCGACCTCTCTCTGCGCGGCGCACGGGAACGCCCCAACTATGTCGTCGACGCTGGCCAGAAGCGACCGCAACTCTAGTCCCACCTTCTTCACCAAGTCGAGGTACTGGTCTGCGTGTGATTGCTGCACACCCTGCGACAGCGACATGACAGCCCTCACTACGTCTGTCGTGCACTCGTACACCCGATCGTGGGTTCTATCCGGTATGGCTGTCACGTGATGAACATCCTTGAAATCAAAATAACGATGAGCTTATAAAGCGATAGTTTGGATGGAAAAATAAGCAATTTGGTACCTTGGATCTTTCAGAGTCGCTGCCGAAATCGGATCCGCTCTGCTGTCCGCTTAATGTCATCGTGTTTGTCAACGAGCCCACAGGCGAATGGCTTTTGCTGCTCGAGAGCGAGGCGGTGCCGCTCTGTTGCCCGCGGCAACGCCCACCACGCCGTCCCCGGACCGCTGGTGCTCGGAGCAATTCGACGGGCTCGCGGGAAGGGATGACTGATGAGTGTTTTCTAGGCACGAGATCGTTTCGTTGAGAGGGCCAACGACGGTCAATTTTTTCTGCAATGGAAGCAGTGTTTTATTATTACTATTATTTATTGTTTATATTTCTACAACAAGAAATCCGTATCAGACATTACATAAGCCTAAAGAAAATAAAATAGTAAACTAATAGGGATCTATCAGTAAGTATTTTCTAATAGTTTTATTTTTACTCATTTCTTAGAAACGCGCGGGTCTTTAATATAATATCATAAAAAAGGCAAGACGTTTTGAGCCACGAGAGTCCAAATTGTTTAAAACAATAATAAATATATTTATTATATTGATATAGAGAGCATTATACATCTGACAAGTGAGTAGAAGGTGGGAAATTATTTCAAATTGTTTAGTGTTACATACGTACATATATACGTAAGTACGCGCAGCCCTTATAGGAGAATTTCAAAAAAACGTTATTACTCAATCTTAGTTGTGCGATAATTATTAAAATGGACATTGGCAATTTAAATAGCTGGGTGGTAGATCAGAGGGTGCAAACCTGAGTAAAAATTCGTGTACTGTGAACCGGCTGTAATGTTGACATCTCACCACAACACAATTCACAAAACAGCTCTCTAATCTGAGATGCCCAGTTGAATTTGGTGTGCTTTGATTGATCGAGATAGCTCGGGAGACGACCTTGGTCCATTATTTACAGTTTCATAAGAAAACTGTGGCAAGTTTTAAAGGTTTGGTAAATTAAGTGTGTGTGTGTGAAGTTGATTTAGGGAGTATCATCAAATCATCTTTTTTCAAAGTTGGTCTCTACTAGCTCAAGTATGTCGGTATAACGTATGCGTCGAACTGGAAGACATCCGGAAAAATTATTTAAGATGGTTGTTTGGTATATTTTTTAAATTGCGTCCCAAGAGGAAAGCCTACTCTTTCTCAGCATCGACTATGCGGTCCTCGCTGCCTCACTTGCTTTCGAAACTGTTGTGCCTGCCATTTCCCTTAACAAAGAGAAAGACGAGAATGTCACAGCAACGTAATTAACCGTTTTGACCACATCTAACCATGAATCACCCAAGAAAAGCTTTGACTTAGTTGCAGAAGGGGAGTTACTAAAGCGCATAACTTTAGTTTTTTTGGTATTGATTGCAACAGAATTTTCGTTGGCGTACTTGGCCAGACAAGTCAACATTTTCTGTAATTGGCTCTGTGATTCAGCTAATAAAACGACAGCGTGTGCGTAGGCCAGTAAGTTGAGCCTATGCAACTTCAATCCATTGAAGAAAAGTAGTCAATATTAGCAAGACCAAGGGAAAAAGGTAGAGGGCTAAGCAATGCGGCCAGAAGGACACCCTCAGTGATATCCAACATTTTAGTGAAGTCATCCTCGGCCTTAATTTTAACTGTCGCCACTTCTTAAAGGGTAGATTATTTAAAAATTCGTACGGTTTAAGATCCATGCCAGGTTTACATTGTTTTAAAATTGTTTTGATATCATCGACAGTTACACTAGAATCAAGTAAAGGATCTGAAGCGTCGAAGAAATGTGTGTAATCTATGACACGAAACAAGTATGTCGAACAGAGAAAAGCCTCCCACTCGTAAACGGTTGAATTGTTTTTGTTATCATGATTATTAAACCAGAATTCGCGTTGATTTTCCGTTTTCGATAGAGTAGAGATAAGAGAGTTTTCATATAAGCCCTTTTTAGTCAAAATTAAGGTGCGACAGTGTTTTTTTGCTTTTAAGATAAAGTCGTTCTAAACGACGAGAAACGTTGAAACCCGTGCGCTAACCCTTACCAAATTCGTTTTCGATTCGGCGAGCCACCTAGAGTCTTCTTCGGATTCAAGCTGTTGCTGCCGTAGCCTCTGCTCGAGCACCTGGTGACTGAAGTGGCTCGACGGTTGGTACTGGAGATTTTCGAGCAGCTGATCGCCGTAGAGGGAAGCCGGCTGTGGAGTATAGTTACGTCAGACGATGGGTGGAACTTTCGAATTGAAGTTGACGCGGCAAAGTATCACTTTCTGCTGAACTAATACTTATTATTATTTCTTACTTTAAAAAGTTTATTGTTAATTAATACTCTTTTAATGGCAATTTTCGTATTTCGATTTAAAATGATTGTGAATCTAGTTTGAAAGTAACTACAATATCGAGAGCTTTAGTAATAAAAATTTATGCTTAATATACCTAAAAATGTAAATTTAAAATTGAGCGCTTTGGGAATATGTCCAATTAACGGGTTTAGTTATTAAGTTCCAGAGAGTGTTTCAAGTAAAATATTCATATTTTCCCTTTTTATATCTTATTTTGGTTAGTTAAAATTAATTAAAAACCCCTTTAAACCTTGAAAAAGCAACTGGCAGACAAAAGACTTTAAGTAATTATTTACAGTAAATTCATTACATTTAGTGGTCGCTTGGGTGATTTTTGCCACGCCCACGCAAAGTAATCACGCAACGCAAAAATACGGGAGAGGCGGATAAAGGGAAAAAACTTATAGCTACTGTGGATTGCAACGCATTCGCCAAAAAAGTCTATCAAAAACTGTCACGTGCACCAACAGAAAAACCAAACGCAAACAAAGAAAAAAAAGAAAAGTGACGGAGGGGCATCCAAACTACTACGCAAGTGGTCCTGTCGTCGTAGTCGCGCAATACACAAGCCTAGAGAGCTGATCTAAAAAAATTCTAAAGTGTAGCTAACACAATACCAAAATTTCAAAAAAAGGGGCTCCAAACTCTTCTATTAAAACATGAAAAAAAAAAGCAAAAAGTTTAAAACAATTTAGGACACTGGTATGTGGCAGTTAAGAAAAATCCACACAATTGTTAGAAATAAAATCATCAGAAAAAATAAAATTAAAAAAAATATACTGACCACTTGATTTCTATATATTGAACTAGTCGTCTGAAATTTAATTTTGTTTTTATTTAGTGACAGATAATTCTTTTATCATAAAAAACGAGCATTATATTCATTGGTTTGGGAATTACAACTTTTTAATGAAAAACAATGTTAACAACTTTTAAGAATAAATTATTGTCAATTAATTTTTAATATATCATTCTTAAAAAAAAAAGGTAAGTTACTTGGAAATATCTATTAATATTTGTTTTCATAATGTTTAGGACAACTCTTGTCACAAAAAAACAAAAACTTAAATTACTACAAAATCAGGATTGGAAATTGGAAACACAAAGTAATTGAAAAGACCAATTGTTAGACAAGACCCCCACCCTCCAACACACCGAAGTACCTCGGGCCGGCGTTCGATACGACTTAACCTCAAAATTAAATTCTCCTCGACGATCGACTGCAATTTACCAAACTCGTATTTGAAACCGGCTATTTCTTCCTCCAATCGGCCTTGTCTCTTCTCTATCGCGACAATTTTAAACTGGTTCTTGCAAATATTCAAACGGTGGGTGTTTAAGGTTTCGTTCGTGGTCACCCGAAATTCGGATTCGAATTTGGCTCGATTTTTGGGCTCCCATATCCGGTTCTCGATGTAATCGACCAGGGATTCGTCTTCCGGCCCGTCGCGACCACCACAAGCCGTGCAACAACTTAGCATATTAATATCACCGCTTCGCAGCACTTGATTCACTTACTTTGAACGTTACGTTTGAACTGGCTTGTTATCGTTTTAGATAAGAAAAAATACAATTCGCATATGCAGCTGATAACGTATCGGACAAATGATAAGGACTAGATGCAATCCAAAATTCGAACTTAGTTGTGAAATATGTCTGTAGGCAAATAAAATATTCAGAAGTCCCCTGATGTTTGAAAAACCAATACGTGAATATTGACTGAGGACAAATTTTCTTCGGCAACGACTTTCAGATAACAAAAATTAATAACCAAAGCAATGTAACCCAAAACCACAATCAGTTTATTGAGCGAAAATTACTCATATTGAGCAATAAACATTCTCAATGATGAAAATGCATAAAACATAAAGCACATTTTTCACTAACTGACGTCACGAACATCTAACTCGATGATTTTACTGAGAGATAATAAAAATCTCTAACATCGACCAATTCCTGGTAACTGGACCTGAAAACACGAGTGAAGAACGATGCAAAAAAGTAAAACAGACACGCGAGCGCGCCCGGCCACACACACACACACACACACACATGAAACTCCCAACAAAGATGCTCAAAAAATAATTTTACTTTATCACTACCAAACCAATTACGCATCAGTATGGTTTTTGAGCCAAATCCACAAAATTCTATCGTCAGAGTAAAAAACAAAACAGCAAATCTCCGACACCCACCCAAAAATAAACGAATAAAACGACGTCACTGTCGATCGACAGCCACTGGGAGATGAGATAAGGTGCCAAAACAAAATGCACGCAAAAGAAAAAAAAACGCTACCGCGCATGCGGCACGAAACCGGCGGGAACGCCCACCAGCCAAGCGTCATGCTGCATGCGTCCACCAAACCTGTTGCTGGTGGGAGGTTGGTGGCTGTACGAAAAACTGCCGCTTGCGCGCGCAGCTCTTGACGTCGTCGCCACCGAAATCATAAATGCACTCCTCGACGTACTGAGGCCTCGCCCCCTCGGTCTCGCCATACTCGTACATGACAGGGTCGGGATGGTAAACCGGGACGAAATCGAAATGACATTCGATTGGGTCGCCACCAAGCGGCGGCGGCGGAGAATTTTTTGACCTCCTCTCCAACGACCCGGCACTAAACGGCAAGGGTGGCGGCCCAGTCTTATCCAGGCTACCTCGCGATCCATAGACCACGCGACCGTTCTTCTCGAGCGAGTTATATTTAGAGGACGGTTGTTTCCGTTCCAAAGATCCCATCAGGGGCGTCGAAGGACCGGTAGTCGCCCTGGACGGTGTCCTATCCACGGTATTTTTTTTTTGTTTCAGTGGGTGGCACCTCGGGATCTAACTTCTGGAGGTTTTGGATCGGGATCGGGCAGGTTTTGAGGACGGGTTCCGGGACGCGATCTTTGCGCTCGAAATCTACCGCTACCGTGTTAAATACCGATGCGGGAACGGTGTACATGGCCGGCGTCACGCCCCTGTTTTCGTTCTCGCGCATCAGATGCGCGAGCACCTCGGGATTCTGCGCGATGATGTACGTCTGCGGCACCGGGTCCGACGCAGCGTCCAGCGAAGACGACAGCAACGACGCGTCGAGCGCTGCCGAAATGAGAAAAATCTAATAACCGAACGAGTTTTCGCGTCTTCAGATAAATTCAAGCAAATTTTTCTATAAGACCAATAGAATGGTCCACCAGATAATTAAACGGCTAACAAATAAATTAATTAATCACAACCTAGACAGTTTTTGACATGTTAACGGGAATTACTTGGAGCATGACCACATGACACGTTTATTTTATTCACTAAAGACAAATTAATCAACCAAAAATTTAAAGAACTAAATCCAAGACATTTCCCAAAATTTTGAAAAAATACATGTAGTCCCTTTTTTCATTATGTAATAATGTTCTTCCGCGAAAACTAACCAAAACTCACAAAAAATTTGATTACCAACGTCTCAAATAAGTCAGCTTTAAAATAACAAAATATGAATAAAAAAAAATTAGGAATAGACGTTTTCGATTTATTTCACAAACCTTGCATGGGATGCCTGCTAGGCTTCGGCGAGGGGCAACACTCATTTGCGGGTCCCCACGACATCGCCGCCGCCCTCCTCGTCTCTCGCCGCGAGCACTCTTGCTGCGCCCGCTTCTCCTCCACCAGGATCTCCTGCAAAATCTCTTTGATGTCCTTGAAACTTGGCCGTTTGCTCGGCTCGTACGCCCAACACTGCGACATCAGCGAGTAGAGGCGGGGCGGGCAATCTGGCGGCAACGCCAGTCGCTCCCCGTTCTCGATCTTTCCGATCACGTCGTTGTTCTTCACGCCTTTGAATGGTTTTACGCCTAACATTAAGATTTCCCACATGCACACACCTGAGGACAGAGAAAAGAGACACAATTGTGGGAACATGTCTCTCACAGACTAGACGTCAAGCCCTTACCGAACATCCACACATCGCTGGCGGTCGTGAACCGCCTAAAGTTGATACTCTCCGGGCTCATCCATTTGATGGGCAGTTTACCCTTAGAGGCCTTGTAGTAACTCTGGTCCTCGCCCATCCACCGTGACAGACCGAAATCAGCGAGTTTGACGCATCTAGAATTGAATCACTTATATATATGCGTCCCGATTGAAAAAGAAACCGCCTAGCATTATTGAATTAAGTCTGATTCCACCTTTTTCGCAAAAATGATATCCATGTTGCGGAAAAATCTATAAAAACATAAGAAATCTTCAGGTCTTGCTTGTGGAACGTAACATTTACTGACTTGGCAATACTGCGGCGCGCTTGGAATGTAATGTGGGAAGGGGGAAACTGCACAGGGCGGGTGTAATTGACAATGACTTTTTTATTTATGATACCGAGAAAACATTTTTTGGGCACTTTTTTGTATCAAGTGCAGTAGCGTATATAGATTTTTTCTATATTCTTCGTTATCCCATTAATAGTTTTTAAAAATGCCTGTTTTGAGCCGTTTTCAATTATATGTTGATTTCTGTAATCAAAAATGACATAGATATAAGGCATTTCTTATACGTAGGCTCAAGGTTTAGGAAAGGGCTATTTATAACTTAATTTAACTTTTTTCAGAGTTTTTATGGTTTTATACCATTTTATAAAACCATTGGTGTTACAAGTTTTATAAGACGTTCGACAAATACCAAAACACTTTTAAGTTTGATAATATATATAATCTTTGGTGTAGGTTGCTTCAGAGTTTTTAACATGCTTTTTAAAGGGTTCTTAAAAACCTTATTACAAAACTTTTTTTTTGTAACTTGCCCCGTGAAACTAGATATTTCAAGAAAAATAAACACACTCCTTTCAAGGACAAATAAACAACTGAGTAGATATATAGTGCCGATATAAGCAACAGAAACCGTACATAACCTCAATTTCCTAACCCCCCCGCAGCGGGGGGCCCCCCGCGCGTGGCGTCCTAGTGTCCCCCCTGTCTACCAGAGTGCGCTCCGCCCCCCACCTAGCTTGTGTAGCGTCCTGTTTTGCCCCGGTTCCGCCCGTCGCTGCTAGATGTCGCGCGCTTGTGTCGCCAGCTTGGGTAGCGTCCTGTTTTGTCCCGGTTCCGCCCGTCGCTGCTAGATGTCGCGCGCTCCGACCTTCGTAGGCCCCCCCGGTAGAGGGCGGTGACGGTGCGGCGCGGAGACGGTGTGGCGCGGTGACGCGGGTGATCGGGTCGTCGGTAAACAAGTCGAGTGACTTATACAGAGTGTCTCAATAATCACGGTTTAATAAAAGAAAAACTATAGATACAATAGTAAATATTTATTAGCTCATATGTAGACAACGTAATGCTTCGTACAAGCGGTGTTTCTGGTCCATGAGATTTTCTACTTCATCGCGGTCGAGGATAATTTCGTCGCCATGATCCTGTTTCAGTATCAACTCACAGCTCTCTTCTTCGTTCGAATAGGTCACCTCGATACTGCTCCCGATGTAGACTGTTATGTCGTTCCAGAACATGATTTCTCCCACCTCGTCCTCCAGAAAGAACAAAAAATCCCAAAAATCCTGGACTTGAAAATCTATGTGCTTGTTCTTGAAGATGAAACGGACACCTGAATTCTTTATTTCGAAAATCGTGTTTTTATCGATAGTGACCACTTTGTTACACATTGCGACAAACAGACTGACTTCGGTATCAAATTCAAATGTACTTATATATCAACAACCCCCCACTATCGGTGTAATTAAGAGAGATATTTACATTTAGTCAATTTGAATAAGCATTTTGCCAAAAGAAGCAAACAAGCGCACGTAGTTACATATAGCGGGATTAAAATAGTTTTTCGATCTGCCGAGATGTTGTATTCGTTACCGCAATTGTCGTTAACGCCGCCGCTGGTGTTATTGGAATTCTTGATAGCGATCGTTTGCCATTCGCCGTGGTCTTCGTAGCTCCGGTTCGCGAAAACGAAACGTACCTTGTAATTTAAATACGGCTTATCTGCGGTAGTGTTATTCGACAATGTCACGCTAAAAGTTTGTAGCTTGTCGATTCCGTTGACCTGAGCGAGTTGCATACGCGTCCACGTATCGGGCCAAATGCACCGATTATTATGATTTTTGAAACAAACGAACGCTTCAATCACATCCTTAGGTTTATGTATATAGAAAACGTTTTGTACCACAGCCGACAACAAAACATGTTTCTAGCCCGAATGAATCTATCCTAGATCTCGGTACCTGCTTTTATAACACTCAAACAATAATGACATTTATTCTGGGGAGGTGCCGGGCCGTCGATATGCATTTTGCTGTCCGGTCTGTTATAGTGAACAAAGCAGGGCAAATGAGTTTGCAATTCAAAATTGTTGCGATGTCGTACTGGTAACTTATGCCACATATTTAACAAATGTTGCACAGGAATCAATTCAAGTTGTTCGGTATCCAAGCTTCTAAAATCGTCGAAGAAAACTAACTTCTTATTCATTGTTGTGAAAGATCGATAACTTTCTTAACAAATCCCTAATTTGTTTAAAGACACTCTCTGTGGGACAATTAATTCCGACAAGACTCAAGTCTATTTCACCGACTCTCGTTAATTTATTCAAAAATTCGTTGTATTCGTAATACGTTTTCTCTTTGAAAAAATACAAATGTCCGTTGGTGTATCGAAACGCGCCCGACAAATCGTCGGGCAGACCCGGAAACAGTTCCGTAGAACACTCGTCTATTTCTGCATAGTAGCGTTTACCGTAAAATATATACGTTCGACCACCATACGTATTAAAAATAGCGTTCACTGTTTTACCCGCAGGCACACCCAGTCGCTGGACGCTTTGTCGGTCGCCCACTACCGTGAAACTCGGGAAGTGAAGTAAATAAAACGAATCACCGGTGACTACCAAAAGTTGTCCGTTGGGTCTCTGGTAGATATGCGAAATAGGAGCATAAATAGGGACATAATCTGATATCATTTTAGGTTCCATGTAGACTTTATCACCTAATCTTATTATCCAAACCCATTTGTCGTAAAATAGATACATATGATGGTTAGACGTAACCAAAAATATGGATGGATTTACGTGACACAAATCTGGTAATTTTGTTTCGTTTTTCCCTATCGGAGGTTTCGTAGTTGTGGTAGTTGATGTTGTTGTAGTCGGAGTTGTTACGCGGGCGGTGGTTGTGGTTTTTTTACCATATAAACGTTGAAGACCTGCAACATCGTCGTATGACAATGTCTTAGAATTTAAGCTATACCAAGGGTACATAATGGCATTGCGATCGTTACTGTGCGCCAAACCCAACGTATGTCCAATTTCGTGGAACAACACAGTAAACAAGCTCGTTTTTCCTCCGGGCGCAGGCACTTCTAAACCGTAGTACCAATCTTCGGATTTATCCAAATGAACTTCCACGCACTCTTGTTGTTGATTTGGAAAAAATGCATGTCCTAATATGTTACCCCTTCCGTCGAAAGCAAAAGGACAGGATTCGTTCCCTTTACATCTTATGCTTTGTATGTGGGTAGTATATTTGTCAGACATCAAAATCATTATATCCGGCTCTGAGTAATTTAAGAAAAAATTTAAATTTGATTCATCACTCCATATTTTAAAAACCTCGGTTGCCAGCACTTTTAACTCTTGATAGTGACTGGGCGGTACTTGAATATACCAATTTAAATCCGTTTTCTGCCATCGCGAAACAGTCGTGAAGGCATTTTCTATTACACCACATCGGGGTTTATTTATTAGTTCGACGGTTTCGTTATTAAGAGTACCATCCACCGGTAAATTATAGAAATCTTGAAAATCCATTAGGGCACGTTGCAAACTCGACGCATTGATCTGCGTTAAAGATTCGTTGTCGTTAGGTGAAAGGAATCCGAATTTTTGTAAATATTCAATCACACCTTCCTCGGGCAGCGCGGCGACTATCGTCGACACGTCCGAACAGGTAGTAAAGACAGCGTAGCATAGCAACAAGACTCTCATCTCGTTCAAGGTCAGTAAAATACTAAAATGTATTCGGTTCCTAGCTAATCTGATGACGCAGAATATTACTCGAGAAATGGAACGAAAAAAGAATTATACTTCAATAGATTACAGTTTCGCAGTTTGTATTCATATCATAGCATTAGCGTGCTTTATTTTTACGTGTAAATGTATTATTAATTTTTTTGGATTGAAATAAAAAGTCTTATTTAAATAAAAAAAGTTTTATTTCATACAGGGATCCTTGAATACAACCAATTATATAAAAGGGCAGAATTTCTCAACGCGCACATGCGCAGTCTTCCTCCGGAGTGAAACATGCAATGGGCGTGATCCGGTTGAAATTTCGGCGGATTCAACCAATTATCATCATCGAATTTCTCCACCTTAATGACTCTGCATGCGACACCCTCCTGATCCATTTTCGACATTAAAAATTCCATTTTTGATCTTCCTCTCACGTATATCAAGTCAGCATTTTCTATCAGTAGTCCGATCAACGTATCAATGTCGGAATATTGAACAAAACCAGAACTGTATTTGAGACCGTGATGATATTGTTCGAGCCAGCGTACCGTTCTTTTTTCTGCACCGGTCAACGTGCAATATTCACGCGGCGGTTTCAAAACGTAATGACTAATTTGGCATCCATTGTAGACAGCCATTTCTTTAACGACAAATCCATCTTCTAACTGGAAGCCTTGAATATCTACCGCAACGATGCGCATTTTTAATATGACTGGTTAAGATTAGGTTCCTCCGGCGGTATTTATGTTAGATTTCGAACAATCTCGCTGAGCGGTAGTTGTTCCACGATACAATCGTGAATGATGATGCAATAGGCACATGTATTCGCGGGAAATCCCTTTTTTGCTTCGATGTCTAACTTTACGTCGACAGTGCTGGATTTTACACTGTCGTTTCTTCGAGAACAGTCAATGACGAAAATCGCGCAGTTTTTGAAAGCCATATAGTCAAGCAACGCAGTTTTTTCCTCACATCCCTTATAACTGGGGTAGAAATCCGTGTAATTATGATGCGCTTCCACGAAGTCATTCTTTTCAAAATCTAATCGTAAACGTTCGTGAGGGTAATATTCTCCGTTTAGTGTTAATCTTATATCCGTTACGTCGACGTGATCGAAAAGCGTCGCATTTTTCGCTTCGTTGTCTTTGCGATTTGTTTGAAAAGCGACTATTACGTATCGGGGGCTTTCGATAGCCGCGCACGTCTTGACAGACCAAATTTCTTTGGTAGAGCCCGCGGTTAGGGCAGGATATTCATGAAGTTCCCATCGTCTATAGGGTATCAATATGGGTTGATCTAATCTAATCGATTTCAGCAGAGCCAATTTGATTTCGTCGTTTGGAAATATGTGCTTGACCCTAAGATCGACACTATCAATTTTTAATTCCGCCGTTGTTTTAATTGCACTGGCCGCAACACCGCCCATTGGTTTAATTATCATACAATTTTTGTCATGTCTGGCTCTTACCAATCTTATGGTTTGTTTTCCACAAGTTATCATATTATAATCATTAAATATATTTAAAAAGTGTCGTAACGGGATTCGCATGCTAAAATGTCCATTTTCTGTATCGTGAATCGCATTTTCAGGGAAATTCCAGCCGGAAATATCTAGATGCGATGAGTCATCTTTCGAGTAACATAAATAACCTCTAATCGTACTAACTATACCCGGATCACGCACGCTATCCACTTCTTTCCCATTCAGCTCGTACGATATAGTTTCAAAAAAAAATGCTCCTGCATTGTTTACAAATTGCACTTGATCGGTTCCCGTGAGACGTTTCAGCGATCCCTTAATGCAAATAGCAGCGTCGTACATAAGCAGCCAGGCATCTCCTTGATTGATCGTGATCTCAATGGTGTCGTTGTTCAAAAAAGATTTCACAAAGGGATGATAGGTGCGGGTCTCCACGCGCTGGATAGATTTTGGCTTTCTGTGTATGTCGAATATTTGATTCGATAACATCGTAGCCCAGTGATCGGAGAAATTGTTTGTTGCTCAATGTAAGACGACCTTTACGGATACGCCTCGGTTTTGTTACTAACCCTACCGTTTGGATGTTCGCTTTTTTATATTCACCAGCGTCTCCGATTGAGTTGAAAATCAACATTACGTTAATTTTTTAAGTTCCAATCTAATGATGATTTCTTCACCTCGGAAATTAACCAACTCAAAGTTTTGATCCAGAACCTGTAGGGTAATGTTGTAGATTTGTCGTTTGTTTACTGGCAAGTACGTTAGATATTTAGGAGTTTCGTCGATGGCGTACCCCGGATCGACACATTACAACACATATTCAAATCACACAAAGAGTACCGGGGGTTAGAATTCCCGGTACGACATGAAACGACAAGGGAACATCACCAGCAGCAGGAGCAACCCGGTGGATCAAAAGAAACAAAGGAGCAGCAGGAGTACCCGGATGGGTGGTCGACGGAGTGGGACGGCGAGGAGTGCACTTCGTATTTAGATTTTCTCCGGGAACGGGAAGAAGAACAACGCAAGGAACAGGAACAATGGTATGGTCGACTGAATCGACATAAAAAGAAGAAGAAACTCCTCGCCAGACCAATTTTATAAATAAAATATATTAAAATTCAAGTTTATTTAATTATCCTCCCGATCCACCGCGTCACCGCGCCGCACCGTCACCGCCCTCTACCGGGGGGGCCTACGACGGTCGGAGCGCGCGACATCTAGCAGCGACGGGCGGAACCGTGGCAAAACAGGACGCTACACAAGCTGGCGACACAAGCGCGCGACATCTAGCAGCGACGGGCGGAACCGGGGGCAAAACAGGACGCTACACAAGCTGGGTGGGGGGCGGAGCGCACTCTGGTAGACAGGGGGGACACTAGGACGCCACGCGCGGGGGGCCCCCGCTGCGGGGGGGTTAGGAAATTGAGGTTATGTACGGTTTCTGTTGCTTATATCGGCACTATATATCTACTCAACTGAAAATTGACTGACATTTCATATAATTTTATAGCGTTTATACATTAATTTTAATAAACAAACAAAAAAATTTATAAGTAGCTCAAAGCGGTAGACAGCTGTAATGCGTACAGCAACAATGTGGCGAGGTCCAAGATGTGCTTATTATTTTGCAGATATGCCCTTAGTTCGCCCAGCTTGGCTAGCTCCATGATGATCCATACGGGCGAGTCGGAACACACTCCTATCAGCTTTATGATGTGGGGGTGATCGAATTTCTGCATGATATCTAATGAAACCGAAACATATGACGTTTTCAAAATTCTTCGACTGTTCCGGACAAACTCTTAACTTTCAATTCAAAGGCTTATGTTAGTAAAACATAAAATATCAGTAATTTAGCAGAAAAAATGAAATGGTAGCAAATGAACGAATGTTCAAATGACCGAAAATCTTCCTTCGATGCAGTAGAGGCAATCGAATGTAGATGTAGAACTGAAAGACTTGGCTAGAGTTCTGGGAGCAAGCGAGTGACCTAGATATTCATTTGGTTATACAGTTTGGCACAAAAGCTTGGCACGAGCCATTTTTGTCGCAAGGTCCTGTATGAAAGCATATTAACCAATTTGTTGGACCTACCCTTCATCAAATATGGGCATAAATTTTGATTTTTTTCTGGGATTAGAAAGTATTTTATAGGTAGGTACCTCTACCTTTATATAAGTTAATAAGAACCACCAAGAAATATTAAATAACAATATATATATATATATATATATATATATATATATATATATATATATATATATATATATATATATATATATATATATATATATATATATATATATATATATATATATATATATATATATATATATATATATATATATATATATATATATATATATATATATATATATATATATATATATATATATATATATATATATATATATATATATATATATATATATATATATATATATATATATATATATATATATATATATATATATATATATATATATATATATATATATATATATATATATATATATATATATATATATATATATATATATATATATATATATATATATATATATATATATATATATATATATATATATATATATATATATATATATATATATATATATATATATGATGACACTATACTCCGGGATATCATCCGTTCGCTCGTTGAACTCCGACTGGAATCCTGCATCCGACTGGAATCCTGCAAATCCTGCATCCGACTGGAATCCTGCAGACGTTTCGCCAAAATCTCACTTGGCATCTTCAATGCTCGCGCTCCGAAAACACTTCGAACACTGGGAGGTTATCGGCGGTGCGTGCGGTATTTATACTCTACGCCGGAGATGGTAACGGTGCTGCTTGTGCGTGGGGGGAGGTGGCTCCGCCCCCTGAATTGTCGCGTTGTTAATTTCGCCCGATCGTAGTTGCGATGTCCCCGTTGGCTGCTGCGCATCGCTCTGCTGTTTGATTATCGTTCTCCACGTGTTGGATAAATGCAGAGCGTCGTCTCTCGTATTGAGGTGTCCGGACTTTTCTATTTCGATGGCCTCTCGTATAATCCTAGTCCTAAAATCATACACGCACCAGAAAGACACAAGCTATCCTGGACAAAGCAAGCAAGGCCCTACTCCAAGACCAGATCAGGCGGACCCGGTACGAAATTAGTGAGACTGAGCTACAACTTTTCAGACTCCACCTGAAACTGAGCAACAAGATCCATCAGTTGCTGTGGGACCGCATAGAATTATTAACATCATGGCGCACTGAGAAAGACAAGGACATCACGTCAAAAAAACTGTGGAAGAAATTAGAAATCCTTCAGTCAAATTCCAAAAAATCAGGACAAGTGCCAAATACAAACCGAAGCAATACAGTTCATAATATTTCAGCATACCATCTTTCCGATACAGAAGTCAGCGTACTGAATAAAGGATTTAACTATGCAATAGCTCCAAAAAGAGTACCCGTCGAAGAGATCGTTTCCAACGTCGAAGCAAGTCTTTTCACCATAGACGAACAAGATGCGGAGTTAATTAGGCAAGATGTCGCCAGAGTCTTAAGACAGTCAAAACCACCGCAGCCAAACTTAAGCAGAGAAGAAATGCAAGCCTTAAGGAATCTAAACAAAAACGAAAACATTCTAATAATGCCAGCAGACAAAGGAAATGCCACTGTCGTCATGAATACGTTGGATTATAATGCAAAATTGGAGGATATTTTGAACGACCCAATATACAAACTAGTCACCAGAGATCCCACGACATATTTGGAAAAAACAACTAAGTCCAAAATTCTCGATTCATCAATAAACGAGGATACAAAGAAGAAACTTATTCCGAGGGAAAAATCGAGTCGTTGCCCAAAATTCTACGGGCTCCCAAAGATCCATAAGGACGGGGTTCCCCTGCGTCCAATCGTAAGCGCCTTTAACTCACCATTATGCAAGCTGGAAAAACATCTGGCCAGTGCACTTCAGCCTATAGTGGAAAAGGCAGATTCCTATGTTAAAAACTCAGAAAATTTCACTCAGATTTTAGGTTCTCTCAGGATGGACAAGGACGACATTATGGCAAGTTTCGATGTCAAATCCCTCTACCCGAGTATTCCAGTAGAAGAGGCACTCTTGCTTATAGAAGAAAACGAAGATCTTCCGCCATACATAATGGATCTGTCAAGACATTGCCTGAAAAACGCTTACTTTATGCACAACGGGAAAATTTACCGGCAAATAGATGGAGCAGCAATGGGATCATCTCTCTCACCTGTGATTGCTAACCTCTTCATGATTTAATTCGAAAAGAAAGCAATAGAGAAGGCAAATCTGAAGCCAAAACTATGGACAAGATACGTTGATGACGTATTTGTTGTATGGCCTTTTGGCAAGGAGGAGCTTTTGAAATTCCTAGATCATCTGAATTCCATCCACCCAAGGATTCAATTTACAATAGAACTTGAAGAGGATAACAGTCTGCCCTTTTTAGATGTGCACATCACAAGGACCGAAGATGGACACTTGGAACACACTGTCTATAGAAAACCAACACACACTAATAGATATCTGAACGCTAAATCTCATCACCACCCATCACAGATACAGGCAGTGGCAAATACATTAATTGCTCGGTCCTTCAGGCTCACAAACGAGAGGAACAGAGATAAAGAACTGAAGAAAATTAGTACCTGTCTTCGACAAAACGGATACCAAAGGCGTACCATCAGCAAGGCAATCAGTAAACAACAACAGCCGCAGCAGAGAGTGCAGGACGAGACCCAACGAAGATCGATCGCTGTCCTGCCATACATCAAGGGGGTTACTGATAAAATCGGCCGAATATTACGGAAACACGACATATCAACGGCATACAAACCTGACCATACCATCGGAGCAATATTAAGAAACCCAAAACAAAAAATTACTCTGGAAAACCAAGGAGTATACAGTGTAGCATGCGGATCGTGCAGCCTGACGTATGTGGGACAGACCAACAGAAGGATTTCAGCCAGGCTCGAGGAACATCGTTTAGCCATAAGAAACAAACAAACAACATCTGCTTTGTTTCAGCACCAACATCAGACAGGCCATAAAATTGATTTCGGCACTTGCAAACAAATAGCTAATATTCCTGATTTTAGGACTAGGATTATACGAGAGGCCATCGAAATAGAAAAGTCCGGACACCTCAATACGAGAGACGACGCTCTGCATTTATCCAACACGTGGAGAACGATAATCAAACAGCAGAGCGATGCGCAGCAGCCAACGGGGACATCGCAACTACGATCGGGCGAAATTAACAACGCGACAATTCAGGGGGCGGAGCCACCTCCCCCCACGCACAAGCAGCACCGTTACCATCTCCGGCGTAGAGTATAAATACCGCACGCACCGCCGATAACCTCCCAGTGTTCGAAGTGTTTTCGGAGCGCGAGCATTGAAGATGCCAAGTGAGATTTTGGCGAAACGTCTGCAGGATTCCAGTCGGATGCAGGATTTGCAAGATTCCAGTCGGAGTTCAACGAGCGAACGGATGATATCCCGGAGTATAGTGTCATCACATTTTTCCATCCGTGAATCAATACGTGAGAATATATATATATATATATATATATATATATATATATATATATATATATATATATATATATATATATATATATATATATATATATATATATATATATATATATATATATATGAAATTAAAATAAGTTTCCGTTACTTGTGAAACATTTTATTTTTTGTGACGTTTCGGCCTTTAACCTTAAGCCAAAAATCAACGGTTCACTATATAGTTGTTTGGTAATTTACAGTTTTACAACATTCACAACAGACATATCGAATATGTAAATCGACAAGCCACATTGATAAGACGACGAACCAAAACAATTGTTTTGGTTAGTTTTGGTTGAAACTTATTTTAATTTCACTAAAAAAGGACCAAAAAAAAAACAAGAACTATTTCTTAAGAATGTATAAGTCAAAAGGATCCAAGAACTCACAAACTAGAAAATATATATATATATATATATATATATATATATATATATATATATATATATATATATATATATATATATATATATATATATATATATATATATATATATATATATATATATATATATATATATATATATATATATATATATATATATATATATATATATATATATATATATAATCAAAGTGACCTTTCTTGGTAATTTTTGAAATCTTAAATAAATATATTTGACGTTTATTAAAAAAATTACTGGTAACTGCTAATAAGGTGTATAAAGGTAGAGGTTACCTTTTACACAAAAATAAAAAATGTTATTATTATAGGCTTTTACTTGGACAAGACACTATGGATTGTTCATCAAATACAAGGAAATGTCGATGGAAAAAAATTATTATATTAAGTTTTGGGAATAGTTATTAAAATTTTTGTTTCATTTCATCCATCTGAACAGTTTTACATCATAAAAGAGAACAATCAGTACAAATATTTTTTGCTACACCGATGCAATAACAAAAGATTTGGTGCGGCCATTAGGGACATTTCTGGGGCCGTGAGTCCAGAAGCCAGGTCCACGATATGCTGCAGATTTAAAGTATTTTTGTAGCACCATAAGTCTATTTTTATGTGATTCTCATGTGGCTATGGGAAACGCCCCATCTTATTTGTAAAGCAGCCTAAGGGTAGGGACCCATAAATGTGTATTACCCCAAGACTCACTCGCAACTGGCTAGGACAAATTCCACAGTGAATTCAGTCAGCTTTATTCCCATCATCCTTACCTATTTTGTTTTGTCATTCATAAATTTGATTTGAAAGATGTCAACTTTTACCTTAGCCGGTGGCTGTAATAAAAAATATTCTTTTGAATGTATCTTTAAAACAAGCACCCGTTTCCTAATTCGTATTCGGATTATACCTATCTAGTATACCATTTGAGCGTCTGCTACATCGAGATCCCTCGCGAGA